TGTTTATTGATCGCTATTTTGCGATTTTTCGTTTATCGCGGTTAATGGGGACCAAAACCACCCGCGATAAACGAAAATCCGCAAAGTAGCGACCAATAAACATATACAGGTTAAAAAAAAAACCTTAGGGATTACTGTTATTAATAACAAATAAGAAAATGTTGATGACTTGCTGATTTGAATAAAAAAACCCATCACAACAGGAAGCAACAAAATATGCAAAGAGTCTAACTATTGGGAAGATGTAAACATGAAGTAAATCTTTCCTGCACACTTGTCTGTCGAACTTTGATTCATCGTTGTGTTTTTAGGTATGTTTGGATCCTCAACAGCCTCCTTAGCGGATCCATGAAGATCAACGCCTCACCTTTATTCCTGCACTGCATCATCCTCCACGGAATCCCCAACTTTGAGTCCTCTGGAGGTTAAAAGTCTTTTTTTTTTTTGGTTTTCTGCCACACACTGCTGCAGTGCCTCGAAGGGTGTGAGAAGCCACTGACGTGACCACATAAGAGTCTTTTACACGCGCACACATGCTCAGACACATGCAGTCTTTCAAACGGCAAAAACTATGACCTTTGGGCCAAATTCAGCCAAAGAGAGCACTTGAGATGGTCTGCCACGCAAAGAAAATAACCTTATATGACATACATTATCAAACAAGTATAACAAGTCTTACCGTATTTTCCGCACTAAAAGGCGCACCTAAAAGCCTTCCATTTTCTTAAAAGCTCACAGCACGCCTTAAAATCCGATGCACCTTGTGTATGGTCACTCCGGTAATATTTCGACACCAAAATGGCTCCTTGCTTGAGACATGCTGACAACGCAGAGTTCAAACTTAAGGTGATCGGTTACGCAGTTGAACACGGAAATAGAGCAGCGGCAAGTGAGTTCAACGTTATCGAGTCAATGTTATAACTTGCCGTTGGTTAAGTGAACTGTGTCGCTGCTTTATTAAATAAGTTTTACTGACATCTGATCGTTCTGTTGGCGTTTCCTTGAGCGTAGCTCCATCTAGTGGATGCATTGTAGATTGCATCTTATAATGCGGTGCGCCCAATGTATGAAAACAATTACAAAATCGGCCATTCATTGCGCCTCATAATCCACTGCGCCTTTTAGTGTCGAAAATATGGTCGTAGTAAATTGTGACATGTTACGGAACGTGCTTAACGGTCACGCAAGTGTAAAATTATGCTAGTTGCCGTAAAATAAAACTAAAATAAAGTAATATTACTCACCATTTGCAGATGCCTGAAAGATAACGTAAGAGAGAGAACCAAAATTCCTGTTTGCTAGGATGCTTCTCTCGTTATATACATCGTCATAAGTAAGATGATTATGATTCTCTTCCTAGCTTTTGGGCGAGGGCCTCAGTAAGTTAACCAAAGTGAAATAAAGCCAATATCAAGTCAAAAGAATCAAACCATGAAGACATCTGACAGAGAATTTACCGTAGAGGAGAAGCTTTTCTTGCAGTTGCCATGCTAGCCAATAGCCATTAGGTATATGCTGTCAAATACAGAATATTATTAACTCATGCAATATAAAAGGGGCGGTATGGTGGTCGACTGGTTATCGCGTCGGCCTCACACTGCAGAGGTGCAGGGTTCGATTCCCGCTCCGGCTTCTCCCTGTGGAATTTGCATTTCTCCCCCGTGCCTGTGTGGGTTTTCTCCGGGTACTCCTGTTTCCTCCCACATTCCAAAAACATCCATGGCAGGTTAATGGGACACTCTAAATTGTCCGATGTGTGACTGTGAGCGTGAATGCTTGTTCGTCAATGTGTGCCCTGCGATTGGCTGGCAACCAGTTCAGGGTGTCCCCCGCCTACTGCCCGAAGACGGCTGGGATAGGCTCCAGATCCTTGTGAGGATAAAGTGATTAGAAAATGGATGGATGAATCATGAATAATGAGGTTCCCCAATTAAAGCAGCCCAATTTTTACACATTCATGTCAAAAATAACATCTCTTTTTTTTTTTTTTTTTTTTTTTTTTTTTGCAGTATGTCGACCCTACGTCAAAGTTTACCAGGGAATGCAAGTGGTGTATTCATCTGGAATCTAGTAAGTAGTGCAGTCACTCTCTGTTTAAATCGTAATTCAGGGTTCAAAATTTGTTTGATTCCAACTTTTTCCCTGACAGTCGCATCGGTCCAGGCCACAGGGGGCGGATCTGCGTCACCTTAGAGCCTGCCCAGCTTCTCAAAGGGGACATTATGGTCAGGAAAATAAACGGTGCACAATATACACGAATGACATCAGTATTCTATTTCAGTTTGACATTATTTTCTTTATTCCCGTTTTAGATTAAATGTTACCACAAGAGTGAGGTTTCGTCAGAGCGTGAGGTGATTTTCAGGCTGCAGTTCCACACGGGAGCACTGCAGGGCTATAAGCTGATGTTCGATAAAGAGGACATGGAAGCCGCCAACAAAGGTAAAAAAAAAAAAAAAAAAACAAACGGAAAAATAAAAACAGCAGGTCACGACTCGTCTTCATTATCAAGGAGCACACCGGGTTTAATTTTCACTTCCTGACATTTTAAGACCAATAATCTTCTCCACAAATCCAATCCCCAAAACAGAACATTGTCTCTCCATGCTCATGGCATCATTGTGTTGTGTCTCAGATTCCAGATTTCCAGAATACGGAAAAGTGGAGCTGGTTTTCTCAGAGGGACCGGAAAAGATTCCTGGTAAGTTGAATTTATTTAAAAAATAAGTAAATAAAAAAAGGTACCATATTTTCCGCACCGTAAGGCGCACCTAAAAGCATTCCATTTTTTTCAAAAGCCGACAGTGGGTCTTATAATCCGATGTCCCTTATATATGGATCAATATTCAGATTTCTTGGACGTAGTATTTTAAATGCTCTGAAAAGTGCTTTTTTTTTTTTTTTTTTTTTTTTTTTGCAGCTGCAGAGGTTGTGAAAGCGCTCTATAAATAAAGCTGTATTGTATTATATCGTATTCCTTTTAGCGTAACTCCATCTAGTGGACGCATAATGCAACTGCAGCCAGTATTGTGGCTTCTATTCTATGCGCCTTATAATGCCCTATACATAAAAACAGTTTTAAAATAGGCCATTCATTGAAGGTGCGCCTTATACTCCGAAGTGCCTTATAGTGCGGAAAACACAGTAATTTGTTCTAATTACAAAACAATCAGTCGCAAAGGAAGTGTTGAGGGTGGCCCGGTCCCGCTGTAAAGTTTTAAGTTGGAATATCACTTCCTCACTTGACAGTTTTGGTTTCAGTCAGTTTGTAGACTTTCCCACCCACACCAAAGGTCACACCCTGGATTTGATTTGCTGCTCTGGTCTTTCCCCCTCCAACTGTACTGCTGACGAACTTCCAATAACGGACCACTTCCTTATTTCATTTAACATTACTCTCCAGCTCTCAATCGCCAAATCACCCCGGACCATCACTTATCGTAATGTTAAAGACATTAACATTGACTCGCTCACTTCATGGATCACCACCCTGACTCCGGACATTGACTCCACTCCTGATGATTTGGTTTCCCGATATAACTCTGGTCTCATCAACATCCTCAATACCCTCGCTCCTGTCAAGCCCCGCTCTGTCTTTTTTACTCGGTCTGCCCCCTGGTTCACCCGTCATCTCCGTTTCTTGAAATCCAAAACCCGGCAGCTTGAAAGACTTTACAGGAAAACTGGTCTCACTGCTCACAAGGACATCTATACAGCCCAACTATCCGTCTACAAGGATTCCATCTCGCAAGCAAAATCACAATACTACTCTGGACTCATCTGCTCCAATGCTGGAAATACAAAGACTCTTTTTTCCCTCTGGAACAAAATCACTCAACCCCCTGACTCCCTACCACTTCACTTTTACTCTTCTGACACCTGCAATGCTCTTCTCCTATTTTCCAATGAAAAAAATCAACAAAATTCACCAGCACCTGGGCTCCTCTGTACCTCTCCCCTCTTCTGACCATCTTACCCCTTGCAAACTGTTATCTTCTTTTGAACTCCCCCATCTTTCATTAATCTCAGACCTCATCATTAAATCCAAGACCTCCTGTCAGCTCGATCCCCTCCCTACAGTCTTGGTCAAATCCTGTTTACCCTCTCTGCTTCCCTTCATCTCAGCCATTATCCATTCCTCTCTGTCTACTGGAATTGTTCCTATGCCCTTCAAAACTGCAGCTGTCACCCCAATTCTGACTGAGTGCAGCCTTCGACACAATCTCCCACCCTATTCTCCTCAATAGACTTTCTACCATAGGCATCACCAACATCCCCCTACATTGGTTTCAGTCATATCTCACCGGCCGATCTCAGTTCATCCAACTTAAATTTTTTACTTCACAATCCCTCCCCGTCTCTTCTGGTGTTCCCCAGGGTTCTGTCCTGGGTCCCCTCCTTTTCATCATCTACCTTCTCCCACTCGGCAACATCTTTCGCAAATTTGGCATACACTTTCACTGCTATGCAGATGACACCCAGCTCTACCTTTCCAGCAAACCCGACGCCTCTCTCCCACCCTCATCTCTCTCTCACTGTCCCTCAGAAATCAAATCTTGGTTCACCCATAATTTCCTCAAGTTAAACAGCAATAAAACAGAACTCCTCCTCGTCGGTACCAAATCTACTCTACACAAAGCCGACAGTTTTTCCCTCAAAATTGATAATTCCACTGTATCTCCTTCCCCTCAGGTGAAAAGCCTGGGTGTCATCCTTGACAGCTCACTATCCTTTCATTCCCACATCAATAACATTACCCGGTCCGCGTATTTCCACCCTTGTAATATCAACCGGCTCCGTCCCTCACTCACTCCTCACACCACTGCTATCCTTGTTCACAGTCTCGTCACCTCCCGTATCGACTACTGCAATTCACTTCTCTTCGGTGTCCATCACAAATTCCTCCATAAACTTCAACTTGTTCAGAATTCAGTAGCCCAGATCATCACGAGAACCCCCTCCTTTCATCATATCACCCCCATCCTCCGACAGCTCCACTGGCTCCCTGTCAAATTTAGAATTAATTTCAAATTACTTCTCTATACATTCAAAGCCATCCATAACCTTGCCCCCGCCCCCCGCCATCTGTCAGATCTTCTTCAAATTTCCATTCCCTCTCGCACACTCAGGTCCTCATCCTCCCTCCACCTTTCTCTTCCCTCTGCCCGTCTCAGTACAATGGGGTGCAGAGCCTTCAGCCGCTCTGCCCCCAAA